GTAGTTGACCTAGTACACCATCATGGTCTAAAGCTGGAAAGTCTTTCAGCCACCCTCAGTTGTTGCACGATCAGGCCCTTTACACACAATGTACAGTGTGTGCCGAGTCTCCTCATTGAGTTATTCTTTCGTACAGATCTCTGTGAATGTGCTCAGTTCTGGACATTTCAAACGTATGCTCTGTGGCTCAGAAAAAAGAAAAAAAAAAGGTGAGTATTTTTGGTTCTGCTTAGGGATAATCCAGTTTTCCCCTTTATTTCCCTAATTTCCCTGACCATGCAGGGGCCTTCCTTTATATTCTGCATTTCAGACAGACATTCAGGCTGCTTACAATCTTCTGCAAAACTGAGTCTCAATTTAAGAAGTTTCATTTTGATCGTTGAAAGAATTTAATCTGCCTGACGTTCAAGCTTGCTGTCTATTCAGAAGGAGTGGTAGATCACTGTGGTAACCAATACAGCTTTCCCTGTGCAGGCAGATGCCCACGAGAATGAAATGAGAGGCATCCAAGACATAAACCTCTTGAACTCACTTTTTAATAAGTTGTTCATTTTGGGGGTGGGAGACAGGCAGAGGCTCACATTAGTCATAAGGGAAATTAAAGTTTTACTGTCTTTAATGCTGTACAAGGCATTGTTAAGAAATTACTTGGAAGTTTCTTTACACTCCCTTTAAGGCTTATGCCATATGCCTAGGGAAGAAAGAAAAATGTCTTCCCTTTTGTCAGCAGATTTCTGGATGGGCTGGGAGGAAGCAAAACCAAACAGAAACAGTAAAGCATAAACTTGTTATTTAGCTAACAAAAAAAAGGCATCTAATGGGGCAGCATAGCTCATTCATTATTTTTATTGGCCTTGGAGTTGCTTAGATTTTTTCCTTTATGTATTTTCATAGAAATAGCTCCACTTGCCTTTCAGAGCACTAGCTGCTAATGTGCTTCCACCCCCTTCAGCCAGCCTTGAGATGAAATACCCAATAACACAGCTAAAATTTGTATCAGCAAGACAAAGGCTGCACAGTTCCCCAAATCTGGAGCATTTGACTCAGAATGCGAAGCTGAAAGTGAAGGAATTCACTAGTCCTAGTGGACAGAGAGAGGTATTTCTTAGGAGGACGTATAATTTACTTGCCTGTGGCATTTCTCTAGACTCTGTTCCTGAATAAGGGTTTTCCTGCCGAAAGCATGCTCCATTTTTATTTCTTTTCTCCAAGAGATCCTATGACTTTTACTATTTTCATTTACAATGGTAGTGCTGTCACTGTAGTGCCGTGTGAACCTCAGTATATTTAATCATAGCAGGCATTTATACTTAAGCTTTTATATCACATCGCTCTAGGCTCTCTTCTTTCGAGTATGTTTGCTCAGTTCTTGAGCTTTTATGAAGTTTCGACACCATTTAAATAAAATGATTGCACATATATGAATGAGAATCTTCAGTAACCCAAACTATGCTAGCCAACATCCTATCTCATAGTATCCCTACATCATATGATCCTCATCCATGCATATGAAGATGCATTAAGTCACGTGAACGCTGTAATTCAGAGTCAAAAAACCGACCTCAACAGGACAGGAAAAAATCTGTTCAACCAACAGATGCTGTAATGTTTTTCTTAGATTTCAGACAGAAAGATGCATGCACACTCTGTGGAGCTCATCTATTATAAATCCAGTGTTTCTAGACGTGCTCCACATGTGCAGTACAGTAGGTCTGCATGCACATTACGGAGACAACCAAAAATCTCAGAGGGATGTCAAGATGAACTGCACTGGAACTATCATACAGCTGGAAATCCCTAATCACCAAAGTCCTCCCATATACATGTTTCTGTCAGAAAGTAATTTGGGGGATATAGACAAATTGGAGGCCCATGACACCTATAAATTATAAATAGGGTTGTAATTAATATTACCTTGCACTGAATTCAAATATAAGCGTACTAAAACAGTGTAAGAGGTAACAGCATCTGAGTTTCGTATAAGCAATTTACCTAAGTATGTGAGCACTGAAGACACAAACAAGACAAGCATAGTTACATGTCAGAGACACCTAAGTTAAAAAAAAAAAAAGTTGTCAGAAAAAGGACAGGTTAAGCATAAGGGACTACAAATAGGCAGAACTTACTCCCAAATACACCAGAAGAATGACTAGCAAAGCCAAAAACAAGATAAGCAGTACAGGGAGGAAAGGAGACGCCACCTTTTTGGAAGGGGAATAATAGAATAAAAACATGAGGCAAAAGTAAGGAAATTCAGAGAAGAAAGGAGAGAAACTCACTTTGGTTTCAACTTCACTTAGCCAAGTTTTACAACAAAAGCAAATTTGAAAGGCCTTTCATGTTATCATAAAAAAAGTACTTAAGGTAAAGATTTTAACATGCACCAAAATCTGTTTGCAGATTCAACTCGAGCTGTTTTGCTTAATGATGGTGAGACATTTTGAAATTTCTTTTGAATTTGATTAATTACATTTTTCAAGAATTCCCCACCATTTTAATTGAGCTTTATATGCATTCTCTGACTTAACAGCCTGTACTATTCAAAATTTACTTAACTTTATAAATTAGAAAAAGCTGTATGTTGAAATAGGCAATGCAGAGATTTTCTAAGTAGCTGATAATATCCAGAAGGAAATGCAGGATGTCCCATTTAGAGATGTTATCATCATTACTGTTTGTTACATTCAGTACATCGGTGAATGGGCTGCTCCAGTCACTGTTGAATCCCATGGGTGCAATTTTATTTCATGACAGACTATATTTAAACACTTTGCGTAGTGATATGGCCTTACTTTAACATAAATTCAGTGTTTGCTATGCCAAACTAGACACAGGGTCTGCCTGTGGGGAAAATGTAAAATTGGCCTCTAAATCCATTGAACAGAAAACCAAGGAAATATAAACTCAGAGTGTGCCAAAATATTTTGTCCCTTGAAGGTAGTGAATGATTTATGCAAACCAATTTACTCTTTGTATTGCAGGCTTTACGCAAAGCCAGGGCTCACTAATGAGTTATCAGGAGAATGGGAGAACAAGCTAAATGGGGAACCCTTTTAGTGCTGTCAGTGGTAAATTACGTCTATCAGGATCACAATAAGAATACACAGAGTAGTCAGTATTAGGTTAATTACCCTTGTTGACTTGAAAGGTTGGAATTTAGCTGGAAATAAAATAAGGGAAGTCTCAATCATTTTTGTATTTCCAGGCAGCTATCACATATTTAAAGTACAGGATGCCTTTTCATGCCACTGGAAAAAGAGGAGCCAAAAGGAAGAGTAATATCACTGCCTATATTATCAGGGCATTTGATAATTATGCTCATGTTGAATATAAGGAACAGCATGGCAGGGGGAAGTTCCATCTGCAACGTTTCTTCAGTTTAATTTAGATTAGATTAGTAAAAGTAAATTCTTCTTAATACTTGGAAATATTTTCATTATCCTATCCCTCAAACTGAAGACTTACAAGTAGGGTCGTTCAAAAGTCACCTTTTGTTGCGCTGGCTGATCGTAGCATTTTTGGAAAGTAAAATCATTAGTAATCTTCTGGCAAAAAAAAAAAAGTCCAGGACTGATTTTCCCATATTAACCTTCCCATTAAATCCACGATTTGCATATGACGAAGACCCAAAGATCCAAGAAAAGATTTAGAAATATTCACTACATGGTAATTTTTTTTCTGGCATAGAAGTTCAGTCAGTGGTGGTATCTTTATTTTATTCAAGCTTATTGTGCATCTCTTACAGCACTAGCATAACCAAATAATCCTATGGTAGGAGTTTTAGTAAACTGTTAATGTAAATAAACAAGAGCCAATCCTCAGCTTTGAAATTTTATAATATAGTTTTTGCTCACTCCTGAGGCCTTTAATTACATTGCACAGCTGAGTCAGACCTGGCAGCCATCTTTTTGTTAAGCAGGGAATGTCTCAATCTGTTATGCCAAAGCCAGATGGCTACTTTTTGCAAGTGCTTTCCAGCTTGAAAGGGAAGAGTCAGGACTGTATGCCAATGATTCAGCACTTCAAATCCATGGGTTAGGGTCGGAGTTGTGCAAATGCACTAACATGGGCCTGGGGAACAGGATATGTTTCCCACAGCTCATTTGTTGCCTATAATTTAGGATACTCAGAGAGGATAATGGCTGGGGGATCATTAGGGTAAAATAAAACGATAATAATCTAACAAGCAACAGATCACTGCCTGAAAATATGTGAAGGAATGTTTGTGTACTGTGTGGGAAATAATCTTGTTTACAATCACACCACCACAAATTTAGTGTGTGTCAATGCAATGTTATATAAAATGCTACTTTAAAATTTTATCTTGCTTTCAGTGGTTGCTACCACATCAATTGCTAAAAGTTATGTGCATGCTTCAAGCTATTTTTTTCTTAAAACATCTGTGCATGTGTGATATCAGCAGTGACTTTGCTGCTAGTTCCAATCACCCTTGCATAAACTCTTGTAAAATATTTTCTCCACCCCCACAGAACCAAGAGTGAATTTTGCTGAAGCATTTAGTTGTCAGGAATGAACAGAAAATACATTTGGCAAGCCACAGAAAAGGTTCAAACCTCCGTGGAGCTTTCTGGGAATTTATTTTAAGTGGTGCCCAAAATGGAATTCAAAAAAGCTGCTTAGTATGTCCAATCCCTCATTTAATCTACATATGTTTGCACAATTATTGCTATACTTAAAAAAAAAAAACAAAAACAATGAAATACTGATGGTGGTCACTACTGACAGCTGGGGGTCAGAGAGTAAAAGGCTTTTAGAAGTCCTATTAAGAAGCAAAAAAGATGAATGTATAAATACTGCCAGGAAGTAACACATCACTGAACCACCACACCATGCTGACATCTTTGCAATGCAATTTCAGTTCAGCATTATACATACTTCTTTTACTGTTTACTTTTCTACAATGTAATAATTTATTAGATGTGATTTCAAGTGTAAATTTTCAGACGCAGTGAAGAAAATATCATATTGAACTACTTTACCTGCAGCACCACATCCTTTACACTGCGACAGAATCATAGTTGCAGCTATTGTGTGTATCTGCCATGCAGGAGCATTATCAGCTCTCTTGCTTTTGGCATAACCCAGGAGACTGGAGGAGTGTGAGCTTTCAATTAAAAACAGTGAACTCAGCTGAGAAGGATTAAAGATTTAGAAACCAGAGGTTATGGAAAGAAACATCACCCTTGTCATTCCAAATAACTAACTGATATAAAATTTAAAGGTATTAAAGAATTTTTTTTTCTTTTTTTGATGACGAACTCATTATTTTTTGATCTGTTAAACCATATCAGAAGCTATATCACACCAGGTTCAGTCCTGTAGTCTGTGCTAGCAGAGAAACCTCATTAAAGGAAGTCACTTCAAGAGTTGTTCTTTGGGAGGGAAGACATATTTTGGATAGCTCAAAAGTGATCAAACAGCAGACAGTGCAGTTGTCCAGATTAACCAATAAAACCTTTTCCTTAGCTGCAAGAAAGATGCTATAAAGACACTATGTCTTCAATCATTCCTCATTTGCCCTCATTTACTGTTATAATACTGAGCACAATCCAAACCAAAGAGAAATTTTAATGAGGCTGGAGCTGGATCCCCATTAATTAACTCCTACAAGAGAGAACTGAATCTGCAGAGAATAAATTGCACTTTCTCAAGTGAGAGCCTTATCCAAAACAGTTTTTCTTTTAAGAATGACAGACATTTGTGCTCTCAGAGAAATATAGTAGTCCTCACTAATGGACTGAAGCTTGTTTTGATTTTCGTCAACAGTGCAACACAAGGCTGTGTGGTACAGAGAGGAGGAAAGCTTAAAATACTGGCCTTGGGTCAAAGACTCATGTTCAGGGAGAAGGAAAGAGTTTTGATTGTCAGATTTCTGGTGTCATGGATAGCTATCATGATTTCTCAAAGCTTAGACATCAGAATAGCTTTATCCTTCACAGGATATTCAGTTAATATACAGCCCTCTGAGAACAACACTTTTACAACCATGGCAATGGATATTAATGCAATGTTCTGAGCGTGGCAATAGAATATCTTTAGGTTTTTATTCATTTATACAAGAGGTGAAGTGTGCTACAGAGCCCATCCAGCTACTAAAATCAGGACAGATTCTCGTCTGAACAGTCCTACACAACTGAAAGGCATGGTAACTCTATAAACAAACTCACAAAATATTTAAGAAAACAAAGTTGCAAGCACAGCGTGTAAGATTTCCTATTCGGAGGTTTACTTCAGCACTCTTCATTCTCCTTTATTCCATTAGAAGGGAACTGTATTGCAAATACCCTTGAGCATCTTGACAGTAAGTTTTTCCTCAGATTATTCATTAAAATGTATTAAATAATATTGACCAACAAAGAAAAGCTAGGCAAACCTCCAGAAATTTTGCCTCCCAGTGTACGTCCTCCAGTACAGGTGAAAAAAAAAATTTACAGTAGTCAGTTTATCAGATTCAGGATGCTAAGATTTCATCTTTTTCTTATCCTGTGGCTTTATATACATAGGCCACTAGAGCAGATTCCGTGGATCCTTTGAAATGAAACATCTTTTACATTGTTGCTTCTAGTTGTGACACTTTCCTAAAATATCTGCAGATCCATTTCAATTCGTATCCATTTCCATTCAATCACCAATTTAGAAAGTGAAAGAAATGGAACAATCTGAAGTATGGAAGTCAGCAAAAGTATGAAATGAAATAAATGGAAAATTTTTCAGGGTTTGAATTTTTCAGAAATTAGAAGCCAGGATCCTTAGTCTTTCTCCCATTGCAGATTACACAGGTGTACCTCAGATTAGCTACAATTTGATAACAGGAGGCACAGAATTTATCTTCAGTTAAATTCATTCATCAGGTATGATAACCTTATTATAAATACTGAAAATATCCAAATAAACTTAACCAATTACTTAAAATGTGTTTTGAATAAAACCAGTCTAGTTTATAGGATAATTTAAGTTCAGAACAATGAGATATGACCTTGGTATCACTCATTTTATACTTTTATAAAACATGGTAGCCCTTATCAGCTACAGTATCAAGGTCCAATTCCAACAATGATTATTTTATTCTAGTCTACCAAAACTTACTCAACTTTTGCATTTCTTGCATCACTGATGTATAAATTTACTTCCACAGAATGACTTTGCGCTTGCCAGTGCAGGGCCAAGTTTGTCCTGCACATTATTATTATTATCAAGTTAGCTAGCTCAAAACTCACAACAAATCAAAAGCAATTTCCTTTTCCAAGATAGAAAAATTGGCATGGCCCTTACCATTGGACTCGATGATCTTGGAGGTCTCTTCCAACCTTAACGATTCTATGATTCTATGATTTTATACTTTTATAAAACATGGTAGCCCTTATCAGCTACAGTATCAAGGTCCAATTCCAACAATGATTATTTTATTCTAGTCTACCAAAACTTACTCAACTTTTGCATTTCTTGCATCACTGATGTATAAATTTACTTCCACAGAATGACTTTGCGCTTGCCAGTGCAGGGCCAAGTTTGTCCTGCACATTATTATTATCAAGTTAGCTAGCTCAAAACTCACAACAAATCAAAAGCAATTTCCTTTTCCAAGATAGAAATATTGGCATGGCCCTTACCATCTTCTATCTACTTCTAATATCTACTAGAACAGTATAAGAAGGAGGTTCCTCTGTTCCTCTGATATGCTGAAGAAAGAAGGCATCTAAATCGGTAAAGCTCCACCTTAAAATGTTAAACTTAGCCAAGGCATTCTAGTGGACACCACCTCATTTTGCTACTTTTTTTAGTTGCCAACTCTCACACACTGTTGCCATGAATCTGATTTGCAGAGATAAAGGTCACATGATTCAGATTCCAGCTTTGTTATTTTAGAGATTCTTATTAAGGTTGCAAAAAGGATTTGAAAGTGTCATTTCTAGAATAATCAAAAGCAGATAATAAAAGATCTTCAAACGTATTTAAAATATTTCATTTGTCAATGATCCTTTTATTTCGCCAGTATATTTTAGGTATTTAAATTTACAAATACTGAAATTTTAAGCTCTTCAAACCATGCCACCTATCTTGTTCTATTTCAATAGTGCTTTTCACAGCGGTGTTCTAATTTTAGTCAAGGCTTCCAGACATTTCATTTAGTAATTGAAAAAAGTTCTGCCTAAAATCAGGGCCACTCTTTCTTACAAAAAAAAAAGTGTAAATGGCCTTTTCAATCTAGCATATCCTTAAATTGTGTTTATCCATAGCTGACTCAAAGCTAGATGTATTCAAAAAGATTAAAGGCATATTTTATTGTTGTTGATCTACTTTAAAGCAAACAGATTTTTTTTCAGTATCCTTACAATGTTTATACAAGCATTGAAATGTTCATAAGCAATCACTCAGTTATGTTCACCAACCAAGTTTTCTACATTTTCCTTTTTTTTTTTAATCAATGCTCTCTAAAATTATTCATTAATATTAAAAATGAAAAAAGTAACACAATTATGCCAGGGATGTGATTGGCTTCTATTCAAAGCTATTTAGCAATAATTAGGGCACCAAGACAGCTGTTAACATTGGAAAAGGATAGTTGCAGTTATTATTAATTCAATAAAAGTTGATTGATAGAAATGAGCTCTTGGTCTCAAATGTATTTGGGAAAAAGAACCTCGTGCAAACATAGAAGCTAATACTATAGTAACTGTAGCTAACTATAAGTGTGACTCAAGTATGATTTTTTCCTCTGATTCTTAATAGTTCAGGTGTTTCCAGTGTTACACCGAAGTAGGTAAGAAGTAGTGCTTCAGAGTGATAACAAAACCACAGCAAAACTGTGATAATTGAAAAAACAAGCTTTTTGTTTACAAGAGTGCAATTGCACTCACAGATAATGATTTCTGTTTATTCCATAATGAATATTACTTGAAAATTACAAGCTGAAAGAACTAAGAAGTACTTAAGGCTTTCATGCTTATCAGCACAACAGTATGTCAGATAAGTGCCCCCAATTTTCTTGCTTCCACTTGTCTCACTTTCCAGCCTGGTCTTCCTGGAAAATTAGCAACCAATACCCTTAGTTATCCAACTTCTACAGCTGCCTGCCTGGCATTTCAGAGTTGCTAATATGGGTCAAAAACTAAAACTCTGAAAGTAGCAAACTCAAGGAGAAATTTATCTAGTGTGTACTGTATATCTTATTTAAACTTAAACCCACCTTTTTTGTAGCAGTAAAAAGCAAAAAAGTTCAAGAAATCCTTATGGACAGACACGAGCCCAGAAGTTAATTGATAAAGGTTGTCATCTAATCCTCTTTATATTAAAAACATAACATGAAGAAATTAGCATTGATTTAAGAAAACTTGCCAAAGCTTGTATGAAGTCCATCTTCTGACCAAGAGCAAAGAAAAGAAACTCTTTAATCCTTTTTGAATCAACACTGTTGACTGTTAAATAGGCAAGTTATGTTTAGTCCATATTTGTCCCTTTATTTATATTAAGGTTACCTATGTATCACCATTATAAAGTAAACCAGATGTAGTGGTGCAAGCTTGCCTCCCCCCTCTCCTCCCTCCCAAAACGTTACTCTTCCTTCTCCTCTATTCCCTCGCCTCAGATTCACATTCCCTGGGCTACTCCTCAGGCACTACTGGCTCTTGTCCAAACCATGTGGTGAGCCCCATCAGGGAACTGGTCTGCCCCAAACTAACAGCAACTGCTTCCATTTTCCCTGGCTCATCTCCATGAACAGACCTATTGCTAATGCCACAAGCATCAGAACTGGAGCACACGTGCTCCTGACACCTGCGCTTTCCATGTTCATACAGAGTTACATAGTGCATGGGTATTCATGCAAACAAAATAAAATGGCCTTGAACACGCTGAAAGTTATCTTATGGCTACAATTCCAGCAATTACTCAGAGGAGGTGTCTTGTTGCACTTATAGTCAAAGTATAGGAACTGTCAAAGAAAACAGCTGGTCAAAACAACACTAAAAAGACAAAGATTGATAGTGGTGAAGGTTATCATTGTATTGATTATTGTATTTTGAACAGGTATTTAACATCCAAAGAGCTTTGCAACCTTGGAAACCTGATGAAATACGGGATATAAACATTGAGTGGTGCTTGTATCAAAGATTTTATATAGTTACTGATGA